ATTCCAGAGCAAAAAAAAAAAAAAGAAAGAAAAGAAGATTTACCATGGAAATGCTGAGGGGGAGGTCACAGGTGCTCTGGTGGCTGATAGGCTTAACTGTTAAATAGCAACTATATCTGACAACTAATCAGCTTATTTTAAAGGTTTTAAAAAAAACATTTTGCAAGTTAAACATGATTGTCTATGACTATAGGAAATTACTTCTTTGGTCTTTGGTTTGCCAGTTATTTTGAATCCACTTATTAAATGTAAACCTAAAAAAGGCAAGCCTTGATCTAAGGCAGAGCATAAGGATTTTTTTCTATCCTCACATTTTCTTTTTTTTTTTTTTTTCTCTCAATTATGAAGGGCTGCCTTTCCTCCACTGCCTTCCACTCCAGCTTATCCTCTGGAATCCAAAGAGGTTCTGAGGCCAGATGGGATAATCCCTCCGCTGTGTCTGGTTTGCCGTAAAGTTTTATCCAGTTAAACTTGCCTGGGAAAATCATTCACTATAAAGTAGAAGAAATAAAGCTGTTTACCTGTCCTTAACCAGTGTGATCATCTAATGTAGAACATACAGAGATGGACCATTCATATTAAGCTCTGGAGTCACACTGCCTCAAGCATGCCTCTGTTTAAAAGAAGTATTGGTTAGGCTTGAAATATTTTTTCCACTCCCTTTCTCTAATTCTCTCTCTCTCTCTGTGTCTCTTACTCCCTCTCTCTATCCCACATCTACTATAGCTTTTTGTTCCCTCTCACCAATATGAAGAAAGTTTCACAGATAAAATTCAGCATTTAAGTCAGAAATCTCACAGCAGTGTCAGTTAACATTTGACTTTAAATGTTTCACAACAAATTACTATCTTTTCCACACAAAAGCATTAAACGAATATAATAATTTTTAAATCGAGTATCTTGTTTTTGCAAACATAAGAACAACATTCGGATATAAGACAATGATTATCTTAACATGTTCATGTCATGCAAAAAAAAAAAAAAGCCCATCTCTCTTACAGACTGCTGAGCAATTACATTTCTTTCTTATTTCTTTACCTCTGGCCCTCACTGAAAAAATGGTGATGATATAGGCTGTAAAAGGCAAAAGAGCATTGGGACTAACTGGAGGGACTATGCTCATTATGAGTCTGTCTGCCAGGTGATCATTTTCAGTGGAGGTAGTGACTGATACTGCAGTTTAGCAGGATACACGTTTCTATTTAAAAATCATTGAAGGTAATCAATTATCATTATAGCACTCGTTCAAGCCACTTGATTTTTATTTGAACCCTTGACACATGATTATGGCTCAAGCTCTAAAAACAAACTTAACCACACTGAATATTTTTGAACCATAGAAGTAAACCTTCCTATCCAGAGAGATCCCTCTCACAAGGTTTTAGATTTGCTGTTTTGTTTGTATGAAGAACGTGCAAATCAAATCATAAACAGCAGAACTGCGAGGCGATACAGTTTTTTAGCTAACAACTGTTCCACCTGGCAGCCCTCTTTGTGCTTTACTGCAAGTAAATCTTTGCTGAAACACGTTATCTTATAAATAACAGCTGAAATGTTTTGGTGAATACAAACAACTTTTGATGAAGATTGATCTAAAAAATGCACCTTCAGAGAATGGATCAGAAAGAAAAATGGAAACTGAGAGTTTAATTAATTTTAATCTATTAACATGATCAGATAATATCATCTGATCTGACAAAATGTTTGGAACCTTGCTTTTTGGACAGTAGGTTTTATCTTCATGAAATGCAAATACAACAAAATAGCTAAACAAGTAGTAACAGATCATGATATGCTGCTCTCAATGGGGAAACCTGTAAGTATTAAAATTTGTATCATTTTACAGAAAACTTCAGAGCTTCAACTATATAATAGTACTGCGTTTTTTGTTTTAAATCTTTTTCTCTCCAACTGGGCGGCTAGATGACTTTCATTGTACAATATAAATAGGAAGATTAAAAGTTACTGCAATATAATGTTTTTGTCTTACAATGGTTAAAATGATCTATTTGAATAGAAAACTAGAACTGTAAATACATTAATTTCTGGAAAAAGAACAGAAAAGATTCAACACGTTATAAAAGACAAAGCTAATACAGTATGCAAAAAAAAACAAATGACTTCATTTACAAAAATGAGAGCATGAGTGATTTTTTTTATGCAAATATTGAGTGTTTTTAAAGTGAGATAGTTCTTCAGCTCTAGGAGGGTGTAATAATTTATTCAAGGCTTCACTGAACTCTGCTTCATTGGAGATAAAAACAGGAACAATATCTGACATCTCTATCGACATAACAGAGACAGAAATGTGTTTTATTCATCATGGGATTTAGAGATTTGTGGTTCGGCCAAGTGCAGCATGTTGTTAAACTTATGCCATTAAGCATATGTATCTTTTTGGATTATTGTAGATTTATTAAGGTCTAAATAGCAATGTTTCACCCTTCAAATCTGTTGCCAAATGGATTTGATTTACAAGCAAAAATATTTTTTTTCATTTACAAAGAATTGTCATTGTGAATCCATGACATTTTGTTCTATCTAAATCAATGAACTAGATGGATATTTTTTTTTATTATTAAGCTCTCTGTTTATAAACAACTGACCTCAAAATCAATAAGGACTCTCTTTAAGAGCCTTTTAAAATAAATAAATAAACCTCTGCCGCATGATAAAATGCCAAACCTTTCCACACAGTGGCCAGAATTCAATATTGGTAATTAGCTGGGCTAAGTACTTTTTTTTTTTTTTTTTTTGCCTTTCTTGCATTCAAATATTCTTTTAAATAATGCATAATATTTCCAAGTAAATATCGCAAATGTTCTTTGATCTAGTAGCACAAAATCTGCCCTTGAACCACTTAATTTGTGTACAAAAACAACAGCAAAGTATTTACATTTTTTTGGATTCAAATATCCCTTTAAATAATGCAAAATATTTCTACATAAATATCACACATATATTGTTCTTAATGTAGTAAAACACAAAGTCTGCCCTTGAACCACAGACTCATGCTATTGTTCTTGAGATTTTGCTGTTACTAACAGATATGACATACCTCAAGAAGCCCATTTATTAGCCTCAGTGTTTATTTGTCATCTTCATGCAACTGCTTGTCTGTCTACCTTGTTTTTGTAATCAGAGGTTATGATCTATAGTTGTTTTTAAGGGCATTTGGAATGTCACCAAGTGTGTATTTTAATTCAGACATGTCCTTGTCTTCTGCTTTTAGTAACAACTTGATGCACCTTTTTGCATGAACCATATTCATCCATTTGCACTGAGCCTTGTTCTTTGTGCTCACATTGTTTTATGCCCTGAACATCTTCACACTCAAATAATACACAGGGGGCATTTGTAGAGTTCAGCATTCTGGAGAAATACTTTTTTTTATGTGTGGAATAGAGAAACCAGGGATCAAATGCTGACCTTCCAATTATTGTGGAAACCTGCTCATCTTTATAACCCCTGAACCCTCCATGCTCCCAATACAACCTGCTTTCCAGACAAAATTACACAAGCAATGCTTTTTTTGGTTTTGTTTTTTTTCTGCCCCCTGATTTTTTTCCTGGAGAGTTACTTTTTTTTTTATCTTCTTTTAATCTTTTTTAAAGCTCTGGTTAACCAAACATACTGGGTTTGTGTGTGTCCATGTTTAATATCTCAATAACTATACAAAGATAGAATTAAAAAAATAACAATCCATTGCAGAATACAAACAACTGTCCACACAAACTCATACATTCAATCTAGAGTAACCAATGTGCAAAGCAGTCAGGTTTTATGGAAGGTAAGTATCGCTGATAGAGGGGAGAACATGCAAACCCAATGCTGGCTTTCAAACTTACAGGAAGACCTTCTCAATACAAGGCAACATCGCTGACAACTGTCCCACTATGCAGCTCACAGCATTTAAATTATTACAAATAAAAAGTGAGGCTTTGTTTATTAAGCAATTTTTTTACAAGATATTTTCACAATGGGCTAAATACATAAAGAAAGAAAAAATGATGCATTTATGCAAATTATGCATATAAATTGCTTTATTCTAATTATGCAGGGAGGTTTACAGATTATATGGACACTACAATGTAAGTAGAACAGGAAAGGAAAAACAGAAAAAAAGGAGAAAAGATGAAAAAAAGAGGAGATAAAAGGACGATAACGATAAAACTCCTTCAGTCTGCTTCATCACCTGCAAAGAAATGTAAAAAGAACAGCACAACCAACGGAAATGGTACAAGACATATAATAAAATAACACCTAGACACTATTGCTGAAGTACAAGTAGTATTATTTAATCTGACATGTATTCTGTGTTACCTGAGAATAAGAATATGGGCTTTCTGTGTGGAAGTGAATCTCTAAGTACCTGGAACCAAGCACCTGTAGTTGTATGTGAAAGTGCACTTGCGCATGTAAAGTATATCCAAAGAAAAAATGCACCCCAGAGCCCCGAGGTTCCTGTCTTTCATTAGTGAAAGGAATGACTAATCCAGGTGTGTCTGGCCATGGTTACTTAAGCAGTTATAAATGAATGCTTCCTAATAGGGCATCAATTACTGTAGGTCTGATGGCCAAAAATGTAACAAATATGTTCCCAAATAAATCAAACCCACCAAACTACATTTTATTAGCAGACCAGTTCATAAAAAGAACCATAGGCAACAACTGCAAATAAGTTCAGTTGTAGAGCAGCAGGAAAAATAGCTTTACTTCTAACCTTGAGTGGAAATAAAACATGAGGAACCAGGTGATCTGACGCAGAAGGTCTGAAGTTTGATGATCCCATTTCAACATAAAATACAGTTAACCTGCTGGATTCAGTAAAGGATAAATGAATCTCAGGCTTCAGTGTAACTTTGGGTGGCGCCAAAGTGCAAGAAATGATGTGATGGGTAACCAACTAGTCCAGCTATCGATTTATACACCCGGAGATTCGTTTTATACCTCTGACCGTCTCTACATCGTGGCTGGATGATGTGTGACTTCTTTTAGCGGGTGGTTGGATCTGCCACCCATCAGGAGCGGGCTGTAGGCATATGGACTGCACCGATTACTGATTACTTTTTATTTTCCTTTGCATTGGAAAACCGTTAACATCTAGTCGTTGGGCTCCTCTGCCTTTTGAAAAATGATCATGGGCAACTTTGTCATTTTACGCAGGAGAAAGTGAGCAGAAAGCTTAAAGTGGGGAGACAGAGCCAGAGCGCACTCCCTTCCCTCCGAGGACTAGAAAGGCTTGACGATGTCTGAAGGACACAAAGAACGGGATTAGATGATCTGCAGTCTAACATACTTCTCATTACTACTGCTGTGTCCTCTGAAAATTTACGCAATGACCTTTGGCGACTTGGAATAAAGCGCTGCGCCCCTGAGGTAAGATGATTTCACTCACTGATTAGTTTTCATGAGGCTGTTTGAATTAATTCTGTAAAAATGGGCCACCTATGGAAATTAACTAAAATGAAAGCTATTATGATGTGGTTTAAAATGTTTATCTGCTATGCTTACCACTTCTTTCTTACATGACATCTCTATACAGTGCAACAGTGGACCTGCAAAGCATGTAGAGCAACTTTACCCACACTGCGTCCGGATTCCATCTTTATTTTTTCATTTGGATAATGATTAAACATTCACAAAAAGACCACACAGTTCATGTTTTTATGCCTTATCTACTCTGAATTGAACTCCAATGTATTATAATGATTCACCTTCACCACCAGCAGCTGTAATTTGGATCATTATTAACTGTCCACACTGTAATTGGTATCCTGTTTTCTTGCACTTTAACACCTTTATAAGGCAAAGAAAATCATTGTATGTTGTGTTGGTTTAATTAGCAGGTTCTCTTCATTCTGGAGTTAAATAACCAGGAGTTTGTATGCTTTCATAATTAATGTAAAATTAGCTCTATAAATAATAAATGGATATGCCGCTATTTTTTCATAGTTCATTGCAAAACTTGTTGGAATCAGGGCTAATGAGGCTCAGATAGAAGGGTAGTTGCTCTGTAGGTCTGATTCCAGCACCTGCCACATCTTGATGTGCCCCTGTGCAAGGAACTTAAGCTCCAGTTGCTTGTGTACCAATGTCTAAACGAGTGTGTGCGATTTGGTGAATGCAGGTGCTTTTAGTGGTCAGCATGACCAGAAAAGCGCTACGTAAATTAAATTGACTTACCTGCAAGTTTTGGCGAATAGAACCCCCTACATGTCTCAAACTGATGAGATCAGCTCAGTTTGAGTTTCAGAGCTCCCTTTATACACTTATTATTGCCCCAGTGTGACACATCTTAATTTGACTCTATTTGTGTTAGGGTAAGCTGCTGGAGGTTGGCAGGCTTTCATCTGGCTGGACACAGTCATGCTGATGCCGTCTCCTGAAGCATGTGCACAGTGCTGCTTACAGTGAGTGGATCAGCGAAAGCCACATGATCCAATTAGATGATATTTGAGGGATCTGTTTAAAATTCTTTCCTTTTTTTCCCCCTCCCCTCTCCCCATGCCTGCTCAGCTCTCCTCTGCCCTCACTTATGGCATTTTTTATTTCTTTATTTTCTATGTACTACTTCTTCCAACAGCCGCAGGTTTGGGCAACGCTTTAGAAGTGTGCAGGGAATATTTAAAAAGCCTTGCTGCAGGATGTCTTCCTCAATCTAGTGTTGGCCTGTTCTTTCCAGAGGCACACATTTGGGAAATGAGAGATGAAGAGCACCGTGGCTCAAGCCAGTTGGAGTCCATTGATATTCTGCCTGAGTCCTGCTCCATAGGCAGTCCATTGTCATGGCTCACTCAGTGGGGTAGTCTGTGATGACTGAGGTGTTTGAAGGGGGTTAAAAAGCAACATGTGAAAAAAAAAATAGATTTGCACACTTATAAAATAAATAATTCCTATTCTTTGTCTGCTCATAATCATATGTAAGGGATAATCTAAATTATCGGGGCTATTTATTTATAAAAAATATGGAAATAGGTTGCACTTGTTCGTTTGCACAGTAGAAATGTCAATTATTGCCAGATGTGAATGAATGCTAATTTTCAGACACAGAGCAATTTTTTTATTACTTTGAATTAAAATTGGAGCTCAAAATCTTAGATTAAACTCTGATTTAGCAGTATTAACTTTGTCCACAAATTTTTTTATTCTGATATATTTGGATATGTCAAGGTTTATTTCAGAGCTGAAGTTATTTTATTTATACTGGATTTTATATTTATATATATATATCTATTTTTTGTTCAATTTTCTTTAAAGGCACAGGAAGTATACACACATTAACTCCAAATACCGGTTCATGCTTAATTTAATACAATATTACATTACCTTATTTATAATAGTTTCAATATAAATTGTTCTTCAATATACATTCAATGAACTGAAGCAATCTACATTGTATAAAAATACCATATAGAATGCAATCAGAAAAACTTTTGACTAATAGATGATTGTTATAGAAATGTATATTATTACTGAAAATAGATTACAACCATACTCTACATACAGTATATGTAAATGTGAAGGCTTTCATACTCTTATATACATATAGATCTTAATAATCAATGAAGTTATTATACTGTATTATACTGTAACTTTTTGCCATTTGTCTTCCTCCTTATAACTATTGGGCATCATGATTTCATGCACTTTTGAACATAACTGTGTCATTTGTTTGTTTTTGTTCCACATATTTACCTCAAAATATAAAAAAGTTGTATTTTTTAAAGTTAGATGGAAATAATGTACTTTGAAGCCAAGTAACTTAACCTCCTTAAGCACAATCTTCTCTTCCACTGGGTAGTTTTTACAAATTGCCTGGTAACGTTTTATTCCAACAATAGTTGAGTAGATCAGTAACCTTCATGGTCTTTATGTGAGTCATATTTTCTGCATTATCATGCTGCCTGCTTTTTTTTCCTAAAGAATTTTAAAGGTTTTACGACAGGGTGTCACCAATGGCCCTCAAGGGCCACATGGGGTGCCCTCTTCGTCTTCTGAAAACAGAAGAACTCACTCAGTGGGTTAAGTTGAATTTTTTTTTATTCTGTTGCTCTTCTTTTTAATCATTTATGTATTATTTCATCATGTTAACTATTTCATCATATTTCAGTGGTTTCAAAATGACAATATTAAAAAGAAATGAATAAAATAAGAATAAAAATGAGTTTTTATGGATGAGATTTACTGTAGGTGAACACTGATCCTTCCAGTTCATAGGTCAGTATTGGTAGCCCTTCCTATGACTCGGTAGCCGTGAATTAGCCCTCGGCCTTAAAAAGGTTGTGACCCCTGTTTTATGATTAATTATATATGGGCTATCCCAAATCTCTGCACAGTGGGTCATACAGTAGATACCATTGAGAAATAAAGTATGGACTGTGATTTATAGTTTAAGAGATGAAACCATTTTAAGATGTATGTGAATTAGGCTGAACAATTTTGCCAAAAAAATTGCGATAATTTTGAACCAAAACTGCAATTGGGATTTTATTTCTATTTTCCTTGTACTAACCCCAAACTTGTAGATGTTTTCCCCCCAAGCTTTCGGTTTTGGAAAGCTTGCTTTCACAAAGTCCATTGTTACAGGTTTTTACCATAACCGTTGTGTTAAAAAGGTTTTATTTCCACATTACTTACATGCATGGATCTGCGTGCTAGCTGCAACTCTCTACCTTTCTGGGACAAACCCTATTCAAGTGTTTAATCATCACCTAAAGAGCTGAAGGGAGTAATTTAGTGTCTTACTGTTGTTAAATATAGTGTGATTAAAAATTAGTGCCTCTGCAATTTGAAAATAGTGTTTTGTTAAATGGCGATTATGTTGCAAATGCAATTAATTGCCCATTCTTAATGTAATTGGTATAACAGCGACAATACTTTTAACATGTATAAAAAATGTCACTGAATTTTCAAAGATTCCTATTTTCTAACTTACTGTGTGGCTTCCCCACAGTGCCTGGCAATGCCACTTGTGGCTTTTGCATGAATTATTTAATTTTCTTTGTACCTTGGAGACTCAAAAATGTGTACATGTTTAACACAGGAACTGCTACCTTGACAAGAGTGGAGAAACAATAAACAGCCGAAACACACAATTAATTATTTTTTTTTATAGCTGAGAATAGAGAGAGTGTAAGGATCTTTTTCAACTTTTTTTTATGTTATTATGTTTCCTTAAATAATAATAATATAACTTTATAGATCTCACATTGGAGAAATTAACCTCTGCATTTAACCATCCCTTTTGGGAGCAGTGGGCTGCCATTATAGGGCACCTGGGGAGCAATCAGGGATTGAGGGTCTTGCTCAGAGACCCAGAGTCGCAGTCTATGGGATTGGGGCTCGAACTCAGAACCTTAGGATTCCAGGCTCTATCTCTAGCTCTACCTCTAGCTCTACTCCCCGCTGTATGTAAACTGGATCCCAAAATGTAGTGATGTCTAAGAAATGTCCAATCTGAAAAATACATTTGTTTTGCAAATGATAAATTTAGCAAGAATAAAAAAGTGACTTCTGAATAAAACTGGACATATGTTAGAAGGCTTTTGTTCCCAAACTAGTGCCTTTCCGTATGCCCTTGGCAGCAACTATATCCATTCAGAGTTGGGCCATAAACTGATTGCTGAAACCTCTACGTAAGGACTTTTGGTAGAGAACCAAATTCACTTTTCAATTAATGACTTTAAGCTGTTCAGGTTCTGTTGTAACAAAGGAAGCCAAGACCATTTTAATTATAAAGAAATACATTTTTTGCGAAATGCTTTGTTAGTTAAACCACCTGCAATAGCATCCCTTAAAAATTATCTTACTTTTGTGGCATTGGCCATCAATAATTTTGATGTTGTTTTTTAAGCCAACTGCATATAATATAGATTGATCCTATTTAAGGGATTTCTTCATCCACTATCTGACAGACTTAGGTTATTTAATAAGAAGGAACCTAAAAAAGTGGTTAATAACATTCAATCCATGATTTAATAGGGGGAATGAGGTCCAATTTTTACCAAGTCACAAATAGGTTTGGATAGCTTTTCTACCTTAAAACAAGAAATATTCACCTGAAAACTGATTAATGTATTCATTAAGGTCATTGTTGATTATTAGAAACATATGTGACAAAAGTAGAATAAGAAAAAAAATCTGTAAAAGGCAAAATCACTTCCCTCTGGATCTAGTTGTTTCCTCTTGCAGCCAGAAGATGTGTCTGTAAAAGTCAAATTTTAAGCTGAGGTTAACTTGTTTATCTTAAGAAACAATTTAGAAAAAAATAATAACTGTCAAAATATTTGGTTGGATTTCAGAAAGTTTTTTTTTTCTTTTTATGGTTCTCCATTAGAGATTGCAGCACCTCATTAGCTTACAGTAACTTTGATATG